ATCTGCATGTTCATACAATGTTAACCTCTATGTAGGGTTTCACATGATCAAAAAGCTGTTACTGATACATCAGCTTGCTGTACCATTCCATTGACTCTAAATTCAAACAAAAACAAAGACCAACGGCTAACTCTGGCCTCAATTGTAATATATACTAGGTAATATATATATATATATATATATATAGCATGCATGCATCTTGAGATTGAGAATGCACATGACATTCTTTTGTTTTAGTACAGTTGCTAGGCGACAAAACATGTGGTCCATCTACACTTAAATAATTTCTAATATAAATCCAATAAGATCCATGTAATTGATTGTGTAAGATCTATATTTAAATTGAAAGTGTTACTAAATTCCAATCAACTTTACCCGTAGAACACTTATTCATAGCACGTGAAATGCCCATTGTACACACAAAGTTTGTATTTGTAAGAAAAAGAATGAAAGATAAGACAAGTAATAATTTTATTAATTTATAAAAAATTGATGAGTATAATTCTTTGACGTATTCTTTACAAAAAAAAGAAAATATTTTTTGATTCAATCTTTTTTGTCGGTTAGATCTAAGGAATGTTGGAACTTAATCTTGAATCAAACTGTTAACAATCTTCTTTAAGTATTTGTAGTTGAGGAAGACCGAGACTTAAAGAAGCTTGATCTCGAACAACTTGTTGAATCGCAAGGAAAGAAAGACACGATTTGACTTTGGATGTGCTTGTTGTTGATCTCCATGGCACGATTTGATGTGTTTGTTGCTTTGTTGCTTTTCGCCTTTAGGTTGAACTTCTGTATTTCTCTCTCAAATTATGGATTTCTTGAATTTTTAATTTCTGTACCCCTTCCTTCATGTCTTTATTTATAGGTTTTTTAGATTAATAGGATGATGACACGTGTCATTTCTTACATAATTATAATTGGGCTGAGTCGGTTATATTGTGATAATTATCTATAAAAATAATTATTCCAAATATATTTTATTAAGAATAATTATCTTTATTATTTAATCACCAGTTGGGCTAATTAAATAATTTAAGTTGACCAAGTTTGTGCCAACTAAATAATTTAATTAAACATGAAATTCATATTTGATAGATCAATTTTCAAAATAAAAATTCATGAATTTTTAGTATCTACACCGATAATCGATTCAAGTCCAACATCAAATCGAGTTTCTCTCTCAATTCCAAAGAGGCAAGGAATCATTTCCTAGATCTTTCAATGTCTAACAAGTAATTTTTGAATGAGCACTGTGGAAGTGTGTGTGAGTGTGTATATGTGTTCTTACCTATCAAAATTAGGTTTATTTCCAACCTTTTCTTCCCAATAGTCCAAGTAATTAAGAAACATAAATTAGATGTTAAGAGACATTTCTTACTTCTAAATATATATTTTAATTAAAAAAAATGTATTTGGCGGCATGAAATTAGAGTTTTGGAATTAAAATTTGTAGAATTTGATAAAATTTTGATTCAAATTTTTTTTTTTTTTTTCTTTTCAAAGTCCACCAATTCTAATTCAAAATTTTCAATTTCATACTAGGAACATAATATAATTATTTTTTTAACAAGAGCAATGTGTCTTACCTTCCAAAAACAAAGTGCAATGGTTATCCTTTGGGTGTGGGCCTTTACTTTAATTGGTCGGTAGGACAACAACAGGACTATAACTGTTTCTTTGTGTTGGTCTAAGCATCTCTTCTTTCCCACACCACACACACATTTTGATGATACTTATTTCCTCTACATATAGATTTGAGACAACGCATGATGGATGACTTTGACAAGTTTATCCACAAGGATAAAATGTGTTGGATTCCAAACATTTTGTTTAAAATATACGTGCACACACATATATATATATATATATTTGATTAGCCAATTATTTATTGTGCACGATTTATTTATTATGCATGATTTAGTCCAGCTCGTTGGACTTTCTGTTTGACTCATTTATTTGTCATTTTTTTCCCCGACTCATTTATTTGTCTACCAATGAGAAATGATAATAAAGAACCGTTTGTGTAAGTGGTACTGGTAGGCAAGTGATATACTAGACGACACACAATCCACGTGTCTTCTTCTCATTGTATCTCTATCTGTGTACAATTAGTACTTTTCACTCTTTTAACCTTTTTTACCTACTTGTACTAAAATTTCACATTGTGAATTTGATGGCAATTTAAGAGAAAGATCTTAAAGAGAGAGACAGGAAGAGAGAGAGACACAGAGAGAGACGAGTTTCTTCTACGCCAGGCTTCTTTAATGACTTAAGCAGGTCCACTCAACAAGATGGACTTTAATTAGAATGAAATATTACAAAACTAGGAGCAAATCACCATAAACGCAATTTTTTTTCTTGCACGATTTACCAATTGAGGGAGAAAAAATAACTAGAGAAATGATAATTTATGAGTGTGATTTGGTACTGTAATAAATTTGGACAAAATCAATGTAAACTGGTCGATACGGATAACATATCGCACTTGAAAAAGAATCACGTATCGAACGACATTGCGAATCATATTAGATTGGAAGGACCCATTTTGATTATTTAATGGTAAAAGAAAAAAAAATAAAGTTACTAGAGAGTCCATTATTTTTTAAATATAGAACTTTCACTTGTCAAACACTGAACAATATATTTATATTTTTATTTTATTTTACACAAAATCAAAGATTTTCAATTAACTAAAATCTTAACCAAGTATTAGCTCTAGCTCGGATGTAAGTTGTAACTAATTTAAATTGATACCCCTAGTGCATCTTAGGAGTAAATTATATTAAATTTCTTGAAATTTGAACAAATTAGACATTGGAGACCGTTTAACTTTTATTACTATGACCTTTTTTAAACCAATTTGTCAGTTGCCAAAAAATGAGGGAAAAGTCAATAATGTTTTCATATTATATTACACTGCATCTTATACATTCAAAGGACAAAATTGTCATTTTGCTTTCATATTATATTAAAGTGCATCTTATACAATTCAAGGATAAAATTGTCATTTTTATAAATTTGGTTAATAGTTATGTGAGAAAGAAAATATTAATGGTGTCATTGAGCACACACGCCACTAAAAGGTTAAATTAATAAATGTTGAAAGATGTACAATGTGTAATTTACTCAATCTTCAAAGAAAGTATAATTTATCATAGTGTTGCGTTTGGGAACATAAAATCAGTACTTTAAATTTAAGATTAATTTTTTTAAAAAAATTAAATATCTTTTAATTATAAATTCAAATCATTTACTCAACCTTCAAAGAAAGTTAGTATAATTTATCATAATGTTGCGTTTGGGAACATCAAGTCAGTACTTAGAATTTAAGATTAAAAAAAATTTAGTTATTAACAACTTGAATTTGGGGCTTACAAATATAGCACAGATGAAGTCCTAGATTGCAAGCGGGCCACATTGTACGTACATAACATGACATATAAAAGACACTTGCATTGGCATATTGACCCCTCGTGCTAGACTGGCATTTGCCAGAAAGTGTAAAAGAAGAAAAGAAACCGAAGAGAATTTTTGCTCCTTATCATTAACCTGGTTATCATCATATAGTAATCAGAAACTTCTTTCTTAAACACATTCAAATTTGGCACACGTGACCTTGACATTGATAGTTGGTGTCAGGAGTACTAAAATTACCTGCCATATATAACCACAATTAGTCACTATGGATCATGATGCCAGTTTGAGTTATTTTTTTTACCACAACTTTATCATGTTAACATCAAATCTTATTAATTTTAAACAGTGAATGATGTTAAGAGTGAATATCTTTGCAGTCCAGCTGTTCGGTTACTTTCATGTTGTCTTTGAGAGTCCGACTTTAAATTTTTTAATCTAACATGACATTTATGTCTGAAAATATATATATATATATATATATTCAGAGGTATAATTAAGTGAGTAATTACTTTTTAAATGAGTAAAAACTACCATATATAGTCGCTATAATTAAGTGTTACTATCTGCAACATATTTTATTCTCTACTATGCATATTTTAATCCAGTAATAGTTGGTGCAATTAAATCGAGTATGCAATATCACATAACAACATTAAATCGAAAATGCAACAATGATGTGAATGTGGTTGCATTCCGATTTAACAATATGACAATGTTTGCATCTTGATGTAAAGAAAATGCTAAGTGTAGACGGGACTATTGTGACTACATTATCTTCGTCCATAGATTTGTGGACTTCGTTGTGAGACTCTCAAGAAGGCAAATTTATAAACTCGTGACAGTCACAACTCACGACTATGTGTAACACAACTATCTTTTGTACGAATATTACTTGTTCTAGAAGTAAATATATTGTATAAATATTTATATCGTTATTGTATTGGTGTTACGTTATGGATACAGTGGATTATATTCTTGATTTAAATTATGATCAAAGCTAGAAATTTTAACTTTCTAATAATATATGTTATTAGTGAAAATAAGAATATGGCTTGCAATCGCGATATCGTTCGCAATTGCGTGTAAAAGACTTAGACATATATTGGTATAAATCAATTGAATATATTGACGCATGGAAAGTATGTAACAATCTTGAATTCTTAAAAAAAAAATAAAAAAAATAAAATGAATCGATCAATGTGTGCGCGGATACAACGAATCATGGACAGGAACATTGACTGCCTTGTGGTTCTTGATTTGTTTTCACTTATTAATGCACTTTTTTGATTTGTTTTGAGATATTAATGCATTTGTCCAACTTTAGTAGCTCAGACTGGGAGGTGACCTAACCTCCATCAATCCATTGAAGATTCCAATATGGCCCAATCAATCACTCTGGATAGTCCAACCCATCAAAGACCGTACATGAGATGGTAAATTAAAAGAAACGGACCTTTTGTTCTCACGTGGGTCCACCAAAAAATAATTTGGTTTTCATTTAATTTAATTTTAGAACACAGAATTTTAAAAAATATATCAATATATGGTATATAGCTGAAACAAACGGACACAAAGCTTTATTTGCAATCTGTCCTGTTTTGAAGCTGTTCGTCAGCAGCAGAATCTCACTCATACAGCCCGTAACAGCCTTACTCACCTCTATCTCTCACCATCTCACTTTCTCTCTCTACATCTCCGTCTGCAGGACATAATTCTCTCTGTAAAACACTCTCTCTTACACTTTACAACACTTGTTCTCTCATTTTGCGACTCTCTCTCTCTCTAAATCGACTGTGTCTAAAATATACCCTACTCCTCTATCTCTCTATATATACACGCACACACATATGCACAACTCACTTCACTTTCTCTCTCTACAACTAAAGGCACCGTCTCTTTGTACGTCTGGGGCATCTTCTATCGTTTTCGGAGAAAAAGCCCTCGTGAAGTCCATGTGAAAGTTAACAGAGATCTGGGATTTAATGAGGGTAACGGGTCACTTGCCTCTGTTTCAGGTGAATCGAGTGTTCTCTAACCTCTTTTTCTTCTTTATGCTATCTTTTCCCCTCTTTTGACTCTTACGATTTCATGTTCACACTTTATCTCCACCTTAGATTTTCTTTGCCATTTTGTCATAAACGGTGATCTTTTAGGTCTACATAGCAAAAGAGAAACTTTGATTGGGTCGGTGATTCAAAAAGATAGTGTACTTACTCTGCTCTTCTTGTGTTCTGTGATATGCGTGTATGAGTTTTGGTTATTCTTTAGTTCATTGAAGCTCAGATGTTGCTGACGTTGCTGCTTCTGAAGTAGCATTTGGGTTTGGAGCTTTTTAAAGCTTGAATTTGTATGTCATGCCATGAGTTTTATATGTTGCTGTGTATCTGCTGGTGGGTCATTGATTTTTCTCGAAGGGTTGGTACTTGGGGTGTTTCGGGGAAGTCGCCACTGGACTTGAGATTATTGTTGTTGCATGTCAATTTTAATGCTTTGATTACGGATTTGTAATGGGGGATTTTTGATAGCTTGGAGTGGGCATCAATGTTGGATTTGGGACTTCATAATTTAGAAGATTTCCAACAGTTACAAATCCAGAAAATGCAGCATAATATATCTTGCCTTGATGCTCCAAAATTTCCCCTATTGGACACATTTATGCTCTGATCATGACCAGGGCTGTCCGTGACCGGATACTAAAAGATGCAAATGGTAGTATTAGCGATCATCTACGAAACCATATCCATTTGACGAATTGTATTCACCTGAAGAACCATATGCATAAACATAGCCCCATATTGGCTGCCGATAGGTCGCTTGTGAGGGATCTTGTTGTCCTTCAGAGGTCACGATCTCTCAGGGATCCTTCTACAAGTCCGCCATCATGGCATTCTCCTTCAGTTGTTGATCTACTTTCTAAATTAGGTGAAAATGATGTCACAGTGCCTACTGGAAGAAGGTCTGTGGGCATTGAACGCCAGAGGAATGGTAGAAGGTTGTCTGGTAGCTCACCACCCTTAGCTAATCAACCTATAACAAAGGTTGCTGCCAGGGAGGTGATCAGGCATAATGATAGGGTAGCTGCAGTGAGTGAGCATAGTAGCAAGAGCGGCATTCAGCAACGCAGAAGAATTAAGGGAGAAGAATCGAGTGGAAAGAATTTGGGGAATGGCCCTATGGGTGGCAATGATAAGCCTCTACAAGATGGTAATGATTTAGTTGATGATATTGCTTTGGGAAACACTGAACAAAAGGCTAAGAAAACGAAACAAAAGGGGAAGCATAGAGAAGATGTTCTCTTGAAGACCCTCTCTGAGCAATTGAATGAGGTTCGAACTAATAGTGATGATGTAGCATCATCTTACATCCATCTTCATGGAAAACATACCCAGAATGAGTTAACCCACGAGGAAGCAGAAGCCAGTATCCACGGCTACTGCAGTGGACTGAGTAGGATAAAAAGGCGCAAGTTCCGAGGTGCGAGAAGAACTCGAGCTGCTGTAACTTCCAGACATTCTTTGGCTCAAAATGAAATGTCCGTGGCCTCTAATTCATTTGCTCAAGGTTCAGCTCGCCCAAAGTATCACATGAAGGAGGAAGAAGATGAGTATGCTGATCAGAACATCATGAGAGCTCCCAGAAATGAGTGCATTCCTTGGAACTGGTCAAGAATTCATCATAGGGGGAAAACATTTCTTGACATGGCTGGAAGGAGTTTTTCTTGTGGTTTGTCCGACTCAAAATTAAAAAGAGGGGGTCCTCTTCCTCGAGGAAGAGATATTTCGGATATGTCTATGATGTCTGACCAATCAAGCTCGTCTACTAAATCTGATGCAGAAGCACAGCCTCTACTAGTTGAGGCATCTGGATCTCATGGTAGCACTGAAAATGCTGGTTGGGTGCATGACTATTCTGGGGAGTTAGGCATTTTTGCTGATAATCTATTAAAGCATGAAATTGACTCTGATCTTGCTTCGGAAGCTAGATCTGGTGATCGTCCCAAGTTTAGAGGGCGTCGCGATGGGAGTCACCAGAACCTGACGCAGAAATACATGCCAAGAACCTTCAGAGATCTGGTGGGGCAGAATTTGGTTACACAGGCTCTTTCGAATGCTGTTGTGAAAAGGAAGGTTGGGTTACTATATGTGTTCTATGGGCCTCATGGCACTGGTAAAACCTCTTGTGCTCGTATATTTGCTAGAGCTTTAAATTGCCAGTCTCCGGATCATCCTAAACCTTGTGGGTTTTGTAATTCTTGCGTTGCGCATGACATGGGTAAGAGTCGAAATATAAGGGAAGTAGGTCCAGTCAGTAATTTTGACTTTGAAAGCATTATGGATCTGATTGACAATATGATTGTTAGCCGTTTGCCATCACAGTACAGAGTGTTTATTTTCGATGATTGTGATACTCTATCTCCTGACTGCTGGAGTGCTTTGTCAAAGGTCTTTGATCGAGCACCCAGGCGTGTGGTATTTGTCCTTGTCAGTTCAAATCTTGATGTTCTACCTCATGTAATCATTTCCAGGTGCCAAAAGTTCTTCTTCCCTAAATTGAAAGATGCAGATATTATCTACACTTTGCAGTGGATCGCGACCAAAGAAGATCTAGAAATTGAGAAGGATGCATTAAAACTAATTGCATCCAGATCAGATGGATCTTTAAGGGATGCTGAGATGACTCTTGAACAGTTGAGCTTGCTTGGGCAGAGAATCTCTGTTCCTCTGGTTCAGGAACTGGTAAATTCCTTCTTTTCAACTGCCTAAATTAGATCTTCATAAATTGTTCTTATCTTCTTACATCATGTAATTTTTGATTGCTATGTTGGATTTCAAATAATCGTGTTTGTATGTGTATAAAATCAGCAATTAAGTTTAATCAATGAATGATTATTATTCCTCTGTTAGTAGAGCTAGCACGCTTGTTTAATTTTTGCAACCTTAATTGCAATGTTTATATATATATATATATATATATATATATATATATATATATATATATATTCTTTTTAACATCAAGTAATATTTTTAAGGTTGCAACTAATGTTTTGGAACATTTGTCGTAGATATTCCAGTTTAAGTAATGGTCCTTCAAGTTGCTGCCAATGCTGCATTTTCTTTTATAAGTGCCTACGCTGCATGCCTTTTTGTGAAAAATAATTGTTTGGTATTAATTAAAGTCTATCATAGGTTAATCAGTAATAGTTATATTTTTTGAAAAATAATTGTCACCAAGTAATTGAGGTGGTCTATATAAGTTAATTTGCATCACTTGTAGTACATGAAAAAAAATGTTTATTAAATTAATTCTTTTACATTACTTTTGCGAAAGATGATACCCTTTTAATGATCAAGGGAGCTCTTTGATAGAGAATTTGGTGTTTCTTCTTCTTTTTATTTTTATTTATTTATTTTTATCCTTCACTATTGCTGAAGAGTGGAATTTGTAGCTTTATATTTTTTTCCCAAAGTCACCACAATTTATTTATTTTTTTCATTTTTACTATAATTCTGAACATTAACAAATTCAAACCTTTAATGCCAAAAGAAGGGCCTTCGCTTTAGTTTAGTGTAAGTGAGCTCATTTTTTTTTTCTTTCCCAATTTTTTTAAGGTCCATTATGTAATCATATGTATATATATTTTTCTTACACAATTGTTAAGTACTTTGGTTCATTATTCTTCTTTGGGGCTTTTGGTACTAGATCAGGCTATGTCCAACTAAGCATGCAATCTTGTTAAATTGGCCTAGTTTTAGAGTTCCCCAAACAACCGCTAAAATATAATTCCGTACCTGATCATTTAGATGATGCTAGACTGCCACCCTTAAAATAGAAGTCCACCAAACACAATAGAAGTTTTAGAGTTCTCCAAACAACTGCTAAAATATAAATTATTTTTTCTTCGTTTTTCTGTAGTAGCAAAATGTTCTTCAGTAGAAATTAAATTGAAATTCTTACTATTAAATCAGAAGACTATTATAATTGTTATAGAAAACCACCACTTCTTCTATTGTATCAATGAGAATGTTAAGTACTACCTCTGTCCCACTTTAAATGTTGCCTTTGGGAACCGTGACTCACAAACATGTGACTCACGGTTCCCGAAGGCGACATTTAAAGTGGGACGGAGGTAGTACAAAATAAGGAAAGGGGAAATCATTATGAAAGAAAAGGATATCCAACTGGGCTAGCCAATAACCCTCACAGGAAACTTTTTGATTCATCCAACTCTCACCAAGAATATAGCATGCTTCAAAAGAGACCACACCCGTATATAAATAATAGAAGATTCCCTCCTTCCTATCCCAACCAAGACAGCCATAGGATTTGCTACCTTGTTACATCCCCTATATATGTAAGAAGTGAACCAAAGACAAAAATGTGGAGACATCCCCTACTCCCTTTTGTTGGGTTATAGGGAGATATTGTAAATCCATGGAGGAGATAGTTGATTTTTTGGACTCTTAGAGAGTTTAGAGGCCCTATTAGTCCTTGTGTATTTTCTGAGGGATGCGTTCCCCTTTTGAACGCTTCTTTATACAATCTTTACTTATAAAAAAAAGAATGAAAAAAAGAACAGCATGCAATTATTAGATCACCTAGAACTTTAGAAATAAATTCAAATTCAACCAAGCAAAGATTGCATTCTGAACATAAAGCCAGGCCACCAAAAGATCAACTCAACATAATGTCATTTACTGAGTAATAGGTCTTTATTGGGTATAATTTGGAAGTTCTTTACTTTGGTAAAAGAAACTAAAGTGAACCAAAATGATTAGATACAATGTGCTATAAAAATACGGAAATCGATACTTAATTTGCTAACAAACAGATATGATTCTTACATATGTTACTTTTTTATGTGCTTGTTGTTCAGTGTTTGATATCTTGTATATATCTATTTGTGATAGATACAGAAAATGCTTTTTATAACCTGCATGACATCTCAATATCTTTTCAATGCAGTTACTGGCTGTCATTGTTAAATATAAATTTGTTCTAGAATTATTCTATCATTTTTACAGGTTGGGCTTATCTCTGACGAGAAGTTGGTGGATCTACTTGATTTAGCATTATCTGCTGACACAGTTAACACTGTGAAGAATTTGAGAGAAATCATGGAATCTGGTGTTGAGCCATTAGCTTTGATGTCTCAACTTGCTACAGTAATAACTGATATTCTTGCTGGTAGCTATGATTTAACAAAAGAAAGGCCTAGAAGGAAGTTCTTTCGACAACAAGGATGTAAGTTTAAAATTGTTTGGCTGTGCACTTGTCAATGATAGACTTGACTAATTCACTAATATTGATATAACAAAAAGATTTCACTGATTTAATAGAGTCATGGTTTGGATGCATATTATCCTCCCTTTACTATTTGAATATGAAAATGTAACATATTCAAAGCAGTTTAGCATGTTCAGTAATTTTTTTCCCCTTCCTATTTGCCTTAAATATTAATTAAAGTTCAAAGCTTTAATTTTATGAGGGGTTTCACTCTGAGCTTTCTTTATGCTTTGTGTTTTCTCCAACTGACGAAGGAAGTTGTTGGTTTCAGTATCGAAAGAAGATATGGAAAAACTGCGTCAAGCTTTGAAAACATTATCTGAAGCTGAAAAACAGCTGAGAATGTCAAATGACCGATTAACATGGCTAACAGCTGCATTGCTGCAACTTGCTCCTGATCAGCAGTATATGTTGCCCAGTTCCTCTGCAGATAGTGGTTTTATTAATAGTCCCTTGGTGGTCCTAAGTAATACTGGTGGAAGAGAGAGACCCAGGAAAAGTAATGTTGAGCGCGCTGCAATGCCTAATACTGATAAAGGATTGTCAACGGGTCTTAGAATAGGAAACCTTCAAGCTGGGAGTTCTAGTGATATTTATTGTAGTGGTAAGATAAAAGTTAGTAGTACAGATAGAAAAAGAAACACTGGTGTGGGGATGCTTCCTGAACAGATATTCACAGTCTCTTCTGATATGAATAGAGTAAATGGCAGGTCATTATCAGGTAAAGTCCATCTAGAAATTGAAGAAATTTGGTTGGAGGTACTTGGAAAGATTCAAGTAAATGGCCTAAAAGAGTTTATGTACCAAGAAGGAAAGCTAGTCTCAGTCAGTTTCGGTGCAGGTACTTCCTAACATGCATTATGCCTACATACTCAAGTCATGATTCATACCCTATTTTTTATTTTTATTTTTAATATTGTAGGATTTTTTATATCAATTCTCTGTATGAACATTTTAGCTTGGGGAACTCTAAAAAAATATTGGGGACAGATTCATCTGTGGAGTTTGACGCAGATTTAAGGACAATCATAAGCTTTAAATTTTTACTATGATTCTTTGGGTTCCAATGGCACTAGAATAAGGTATCAATCCCAATTTTGGAGATTTTAGATTTGGTTATGGACCAGCAGTGCCTAGGAGAATGAGAATAGAAAAAATTTCTTCCTCAACTTTTTCACATTATTTCTAGATAGTAGTTCCTTCTCTTCTTTTCAAATAAATCACATTTTCTCCCAGTAGACACATTTTTTTTCTAGGAAATATAGAAGTAAAAATTATTATTTATAAATTCAATTTTTTTTTACTAGAAAGTTAAAAATTTGAAATACCAAAAAGACCATAGGAATCCACTGTGCACTGGGTTTCAAGAGAGCAGTTGTAGTGACTTTTTCATGGTATGTCTTGTGTTGATCAAACAAACACTAAGGCTTAAAAACATCAATTTAGATGCTGCCTTTTTTAGTAAAATAAGAAAAGCATTTGAGAATTGTGGTTAAAAATTATATAATATATAATAAATTGTGGCGCCTTTTACTTCTGTCAAAAAAATACCTGGATTTGGTGAATCTAACTACTTAATTTTGTTCTTTTTCTTTTGACGATGGTAATCTCTTTTAAGAACCTTACCTAGTTCTCATAGTTTAAAAAAATTAAGTATGCATCCCTTGCAGTTTTTCTATATCGTACATTTAGAAAATTGCTTGAAATTGTTGTCATCTTAAAACTTTAAATTGTCCTCATATTGCTAGAAAGCACTACATGGAAACCTTTTGTTCCAAAACACTAAATTTGACAATCTAATATTTTTTCTTTAAGAGAGAAATAATATGAAAGTATCAGAATAGATCTAGGGCTTAACATAAATTGGATACATTTAGTATAATGCTTTTAGATGTTTCATTCCATTGTAACAATGTTCAACAACTTTCCTCAGACACTTCAGCAATATCATCTACAGGCCAACTTCTTGTATAAAATTTGGACTTTGGAGTATGCGGTGTACAACATTCCTACTATGTTCCCTTCAACATCTTATCATAAAGATATGTCTTACTGAATTAATTAATTCATAGCATTTCTTTGAGTAACGATTAAGATTTTAAATAGGATGCAAGAAAAGAAAGCACAAATTGGATTCTTGAAATCAATTAGGCACCTTATTCAATGGGTGGAAAGGATGTAGGCTCGATTCTTAAAGTGTCCTGCATAGGCAAAAAAAAATATTATACACATGTGAAAACGTATTATACGTACACCTGGTACATTTCCATTTAGTTAAGTGAGTTATAAGGGCATTTGATCTTCAAAGTTAGTTTGAAATGTTAGAGGGGGCAAGTTTTGGATTTCCATGTAAATCTGAAACTAAATGCGTCCTGAATTGTCATTACATGATGTGACGGTTAGCTACAAAATGGGTTAGAGTGCAACTTTCTTTTTAAGAGGGAGGAGGCCAGAGTATTTTGAAAAGGTATGTTTGGGAAGAATCTGCCTATTTTTCGAAAAAAGAAATTTAATTATTGAATAATATGATTTATTTAGCATATGCCTCTATAACCTAGTGGTTAGTGCCTCCAGTGGATTTTGGGAGTGCCAGGCTTTGACTCTTTGCACCTATTAATCTAAAAAATAAAAAAAAAAGATTTATTTAAGCCTAAATCATTTCAAATTTCAAATATTTAATTAATGATATATAAGGAGTGAAGAACTAAAAGTGACTATTGATTTAAGATTAGAATTCTAAATAGGTTATTAGTATATATAAATTTTATATTTTAAAAAAACATCGGTATCATTTTTTCAAATTACAAAATAAAAAGGAAAAAAAAAATGCATCGATATCTTCTTCTGATTCAAATTAAAAAATGCATCATCCTTTTTGACATTTTTGCCCTTCAAAAAGAACTTTCCTTGTAATATGTAAGGATTCTATGATAACTCTGCTTAATACCTTTCTGCCCCCCCTTCCTTTCCCTCTTATGTGGCCAAACAAAAAGATGGAAAAACGCCCCTTTGCTTCCCCAGGGATACCTTTTATATCTTTCCAACTTTCCCTCCACTTTTCATCCCCTGTACTCAACAGAGCATAAGACTAAGAGTTCAAATGAATCTTACAAGAAAATTTGGCTTTTCAAGCAAGGTCCCAAAGTCAAGCGAGTTCAACCAAATTCTAGTAAAAGCAATTCCTAATCATGTCATACGGATGGAAAAATCCATCGGTCCATTTGTGGGGCTCACTTGGACATTCTTCCTTTTCAAGTATACACTTAATGTCGGTCCTCATCATAAGATAATAGCCTTACTAAATAGACAAGGTAATGATTCTATTTTATACAGACCATGCATAAAATGATATGGTAGTTAATATTAGATGTTGATAAGTCTCACCATCATAGGTATGCTTAATTTTACTTGTATAAGATTAAAGAAATATATAGGAATGTTCATGTGACAAGATTAGAGCATATATAGGAGAAAGTTAAAAGGTACCTATGATAGGCTATGATATAATATCTTTTGTTACTTCATTGCATGTAATAATACAACATATGTGTGTTGTTTATCTTACAATTTGAATTTGTATTCTATATATGCTATAATATCTTTGAGTGAATTCTTAATGTTTGATCTTAGTATTATTTAATAAATGGGTTATAAATGCTGTTTAGTATTACTAACATTGTGCATGGTTGCTTCACAAAATTACAAATAATTGTAATAGTCATAGTAAAAAAGAAAAAGAAAAAACAGTAGAAATAGAATTGTATGATATAGTGATTTCATTTAGACTATTGAAAAAGAAATTGGATTTTTTTTAGTGAACAAAGGACTTCAAAGGGAATGAATAAGGAAATGAACATTTGTTAAAGACTATAAAAATTATAGTAAATTCATCATTTATTTAAAGAACTTGATATGAAGCAACAATAAAGGTTCTTAGAACGATATGTCTTAGGAAAAAGCAAAAGACATGATTTTTTTTTTTTTTGGGGGGGGGGGGGTGTGTGTGTAAGATAGATGAGGGAGAATTTGAATTTAGTTAATAAGTACTTAATATGAAGATAAAAAAAGATAAAACTGAGAGAGGTGAAAGAATCATTTTCCTATTTTTAATATTTAGATGACTTAAAAGAAATTTAATGTGGTAACAATAGTTTATATACTAAACATTGAGAGCATGGGAAGATTAGAATAGTTTTTGGTAGCCAATAGAAGTTCTTTTGTGGGGTGAGTTGGGTAGCCCAGTTGGTAGAGGCACTCCCCTGTGTCGTGTGGGGAGCCCATGTTCGACTCACCCATCCTCCCCCCTCCCCCTCCTTGCCCGGTAAAAATAAAAATAAAAATAAAAAAGATCTTTTGTATGCAACTACTTGTAATCACTAAAGCTTTCATGAAATTGGTGCAAATACACGTAATAGAACTAGAGGAGTGTATGTATATAAATACATATATATATGGATTAAATCACTTTCCTTTTTCACGCCCACGATTGGGGTCCCTTTTTCCCTTTGGGATTGGAAAGAGGGTAGGGGGTGAGGGGAATTGAGCTCCACTAAAAGTCATTCCTATTAGTGTGACACCAATGGTTGGACCTAGCAGTGGGGGCCAAATAAGTGTCTTCTTTTTACTTTTCCAGGCATACAATTTTAATGTCCATCATTTAAATCTTTACCCAGTCTAATTCTTGGCCGTAATAATAATCTTTCTAAACATTCCATGTGGTGAATGATGAACCTATTGTCTATGTTATGACAAGCGCAGTGAACCAAGAATAAAACAAGAATCACGACAGAAAAGTAAAAGTGTCACTCACAAAGAATACAAAGATTTCCGTTGTTCGGCTTAAGTCTAAGCCTATGTCTATGGTGAAGATCCGGCGAAAGATTTTCGAAACCCTAGCTCTCGCTCTCACTCTCATTCTTGCAATTTTCAGTGTTCTCTCGTTATTTCACTCCAAATCCTAAACACCCTTATATATCGGGCTACAAGAGAGTAATAAACAGGGTACACTACCCACAAGCAAAAAAAACAAGTCAAGAAATTTCTCTTTCTGGTCGAAATCGGGTCACAACGCGACTTAGGTGAAACAAAATTCGAGCCACATCACAGTCTATCTATGTGTGCATGTACAAAATATTATGGTAGTTTTTATCAAATATTGACAAGTGTTGCTATAGTAGGTTTTCTAAAATTAAAAATTTTGTTCGTGTAAAAAATAAAAATATATGAAGGGTTATCAGCTGGAGCAATTAAGCAAAAATGAAAAGGTATCCATGGTAGTCTATGTTACAAAGTTTCCATTAATGCACTTTCACCAGATGTATACATTTATAGGTGTGCATTATATACACAAGGCTTTGAATTGATTATTTTAATGCAAGGTATATTAAATTTTTGTAACATTTTTCATAAAGCTCATTGAGTTGCTAATAGGAGTTTACAACATTTTAGAATACATTTTTTCAACTTCTAGTAATCTTTCTTTATATTTCATTACCCAGTCCCTTTCCTGGTTTGGTGACTGGTTCGTGTTCGAAAACATTCAATACGTGTCGGATGTTGCACCTGGAGCCAAAATTTGTGAGAAACATACAATGGTTGGTATCCATGGTGTGCCATTTTAGTAATATTTATTAACGGGCTTACAATTAGTATTAGTATTATTGATCTTATGACACGATACTTTATATGTATAAAAAAAGTAATACTACTAATCACTGTATTAGTGGTATTGAATGACAAGGTTATTTTAAGAAGAGTTTTTTGAGTTACGAAAGAATTTGACAATGGATTTAAAAGAAGAAAAATTTATTAAAAACGTCTTATGTAAGGATTGTTGTAAATAAGTTACTTGTCTAAAAGAATTAATATGAAAGGAACATAGAGTAGTTTAGAACTAATATGTCTCCATAAAAGCTTAGTAAATTATGGGGGGGAGAGGGGAAGTTGAGGAAAAATATCCAGAAATAATGGAGTAATTAAGATAGAAATGTAAAATGGAAGAGGTGAGAAGGACTTTTCTTCTATTTTTGTTATTTTGATTTCTTCAAGAAATTTAATAAGATATGGATACTTTGTATTGCTTGATGGTTAGACTGTGAGATTAGGATATTTTTCCTTTTCTTTGGGATTAGAGAGAAGGGGGAGGGGGAGGGTACGAGAAGTTAAATCCGATTCATAAGTAAGAAATGGCTAAAATTCCATTAAAAATTTCTGAAATCACTCTCAAGTTAAAGATAAAAATACCATTATTTTCAATTTTGTTTGAGGGGTCCTATCATTCTCTCAGTGTTGCCATTCTCTGTCCACTTGTTTTAGCTTAGAAGAATGGAAAAGCATCATTGCTAGATAATGACCAGATATACAATTATTTTTCAGACAATAATTGAAGCACCCAAGCAATCTCATTTTACCTACATTAGTTCTGCTATCAATTAAGTAAAGCACCTGGCTGTGTGCCTCTAAAGGGCAAACCATTGCAGGGTCTAGGGAGGGTCAGATGTACGCAGCCTTACCTCAATATGCGGGGAGGCTGTTTCCTTATTTTGAACCCGTGACCTCCAGGTGACAATGGAACAACCTTACTGTTTCGCCAAGGCTCACCCATCAACCTTACCTTACTTAGCTGTGTGCCTCTCCTACTCTTTATTCAAATGTTAACATTGCAATCCACTTGATTTTCGTTTTGCACAATAAGACTGTAAATTAGACCATAATGAAGCTTACCTTTTGTATATCCATCCGCTATGCTACTAAAAGTTTTATATGTGGTAGTCTATGGCTTGCAACATTGCCAAGCTATACATCTTTATTGAACATTTTATTGGGAAGATATGTAAAAAGACATTTTGTGCTAAACTCAATACAATAATGAACTCAGTTTAGCATGTTGTCCCTTTGCTTGTTCTATTTTTGAATATTGTTGCTTTTGTTGTTGGATGCTGTGTACTGCTTGATATATGCTTCCGTAATCTTGAACGTTATTTGTGTTATTCTTAACATACAGATAGTGAGGATGCAACCTCATTTATGCGTCCTCAATTCTATGTGTAGGATATTTACTTTGTCACACTGATGGTATATTTGTGACATGCTAATTCACAGAAATAATTTTTGAAGGAATCTACTTGTCAATCTAATTAGTTGATCTTTCTTGCAGCTCCAACTGTTCAGTTGATGTTCAGTTCGCATCTGACAAAATCCAAGGCAGAGAAGTTCAGGGCGCATATTTTACAAGCATTTGAGTCTGTTCTTGGGTCCCCTGTAACAATAGAAATCAGATGTGAATCAAGGAGAGATGAAAGGGCTGGGATTAACATGCCACTCATCTTACCGACTTCCCAAGATTGTTCATCTCAGATCTACATAAAGCCAGGGCTGATGAACACTAAAAGGATGCCTGAGGCTGGATATGATGATATCAGAAAAGGAGTTCCGAAGGATAGAGATGGTTTAAATCAGGTCCATCTGTTGCAGTCTGACTCCATTGGAAAGGCAAAGAATGAAATAGTTGAAATTGTAGCTTCTCCCATAGGACCAAAAGCAAATGGGCATGTTGATAACAATACACAATATGATAGAAGAGATCATGAAAGTGGTTCTGTAGGAGACGCAACATGCTCACCTAAGAAATCTGCTTTGGTTTCTCTCCCAGAACGAAGGAAATTAGGGGACCGTAATCAGAGTCAGAGCCTAGTGAGAAGCAAGGTGTCCCTTGCACATGTCATTCAACAGGCGGAAGGATGCACACAGCTAAATGGATGGTCGAAACGCAAAGCAGTATCTATTGCTGAAAAGCTTGAACAAGAGAATCTGTACGTACTATGATACCCCATTTTTCTCTTAACTCTCATGTCATTTCATATATATACTTTCCACCACATATGTAGAAGAGATTTCAGAAGCAAAACCAAACTCAACTATGATGATATACTGTGAAGACAATCACGACACTGAAACTCTTAAGTTGAGTATTAGATGGTTAGTGATACGAATACACTACATGTCACAACCTGGGCGTTATTTATTTATTAAGGAGACTTGATTGCATTGACAACTTAACATTTTATATTTCAGTCTTTGCAAGTTATCCTTCAACTCGTGCTTTAGAAAGCCTAGTTTTTAAGGATATATATTGAAGGTGTACTGTAGAGGTTTAAATGCTATCTGCTCTTTGATATTGGTTTGCTATTAGCTTTCTCCAATAAAGGATTTCTCACCTTATGAAGTAAGGGACTGAGGGGCAATGTTGAAAAGCAAAAGTATTCAATGCTTTGGCTTTGAAAATAGATACACATTATGAAACAAGTGAAAATGGAAAGGAATACATTCATTACAGGAGTAAATGGGACGCAAAATATAGACCTTGTTCACAAATTCCAAGATTCCTTTACTTTGGAAATGCTGATGACTAAATTTTTGTTTCGGGAGCTTGAATTAGCCTATTTCACTAAAAGAAAAAGGTACATGTGTCCCTTTTAGCAGAGAGTGCTGCCTACAGGAATCACAAATGCAATTGTTAAAATTCAGTATCCAAATTCGATAGATAAGGAATCTTTGGTTTAAGTTGCTGAATTAAATAATAATGATACATTAATATGTAAGAAAATTAAAAACTATGACAAATATGAAAGAAGGTGAAAAAGTTGAGAAAATTTTGGGTAAAATGTGAAAGAAAACATGTACATTCGGAGTTTTGAATGAAAGAATAAACAAAAATAAAACATGACATATAATTCTATTGTAGTACCATAATTATAATAGTAGCTTATTGAAAAAAAAGAGTTAAAAAATAAATAAAATCCAAGATATTTCTACTTAATCTTCAAGAAGCCCAATTGAGATGCAGTGAGATTAAATGATAGATACAATAAACAATATTTTTGTAATAGAAAACAACCAGGATCAAGGATTGCATATCAGAAGATTGGGGAAAAAAAAGTATAAAAGAAAATAAAGACAGCCAAGATCAAACTAAGATGTTCTTGAGAGAAAGCTCATCACTTCAGATTTGAACAACAAAAAATTTGGAAAGCATTTTAGAGAACTAGTGAGTTAGGCAAATGGGAAGAAGCTGGTAGAGGACTTGACAGAACTGAAAGTTGATCCTGCAAAATGAGATCTACTAGTGCATCTGTGAATTTCTGTAGACTAATTTTCCCCCCTTTTTTCTGCCACTTCCTGATAGGATCTTATGATTCTTATGACAAGGTTTTGACCAGCAAAGTATTATTTGATAATGAATATCTTTTATTGTCCAGTATCCTTTATGTGCCCTCATGTGACATAACTTTATCTACTAGAATGTAGCTTAATTCTAATATTGATATTAATTTAGTAAACTTTTGAAGAAGTTTATGGATAATCTGTCAGAGACATTCCTACTCTTTTGGGAGGTTTAATTGTTTCATCAAGAGTTCTCCTTGATTTTAATTTCTTTTTATTTTACTTATAGAAAAAAATCCTTTTATTTTCCTATTTTTTTGGTGGGGTTCTTTCCTGTGTTTGAGCTTGGTAGAAGCCTTCTAGGGTAGAGCTTTCTCTTCGGCCATAATCCTGCCCAAGATAGAGGACCAAACACCCAACAAATTGTGAAGGAGAAGAAGGAAAAATGTCACAGCAAAGGAGATTCCGTTTCCCATTTTACCATAAATGAGATCGAGTAATGTTCATCTCATGATTCATATTGATATTACCTAGAAGAAAAAAGAAATGACAAGTGAATTCCAGAAATGCTTATCTCAAGTACTTATAAAAAAAGTATTGCTTATCTCAAGTTACCAAAAATAAAATTTTTAAAAAAATGAAAAGAAAATATGTAGTCTTGACATATTGCTAATGAATCAATTTCTGCTTTCCTTTTTCTTAACGGGTCTGTTTTATGGCACAGTAACATAGGTAGCCTTCAAACTGATGCTCAATGTAACTTGTTGGTACTAAAGCAAGGAGACTCAAGAAAAAGGACCTCTTTATTCATTTATTTATTTATTTTTGTTGTTGTTCGAAAGCTGTTTTTTGTGAGTTGGAAGGGCATTGTAGAAAACATTGTCAAATGTTCTAACTGTCTGCGGCTTCTTTTTTCTGTCCTTATTACAATGGAGTCCAAAATCTTTAAGAGGATACTTGATGTGTTGTGTGGCAGTGCTTTTGCATGATTGTGATCTTTTTATTTTTACATTTGTCCTGTTTTGGTATTTCATTTCTGGCAGTTTGAGTTGAATAAGGCATGGACAATCATCTTATCTTCTAGAAATTGGCTTGTCAAAAAGAAACTACTCTTTTTATTTTCAATCATTTTTAATTTACTATCGGTTCAGAGCAGAACAAGTTTCTTGCACAAAATAGTTGTCTTAGTTTCCTAGAATGGTTTCACAGACCCAGTTGTCCCTAATACCAAATGGAACTCTGGTGAAATAAGTTGCTTCTTTAATTATGTTGCATGCTTTCATGAGAATCCTGATTGTAGTAGCCTAGTAGGCAATGTACTATTCATGTTCTACATTGGATGAAACCTACTTGTTGCTTTGGTTGTCAGATAGGCGTATCATTCCTTTGATGTAGACAAAATTCTGAAATTTTCGAACTGGTTTGACATTTCTTAGTGTTACAGGAGACTGGAGCCCAGATCGAGAAGCCTGCTTTGCTGGAAGGCTTCTAGAGTGACTCGTCGGAAGGTAATTCATGATAGACCTATAACGATTGTATAATGAACTCCCCAAGGTCCACTTTCTTTAACCTGTGAAATATTAAGACTGAGTAGTTGTTTCCTCCTTGTCCCTTGTTTCTTCTCTAGTCCTAGTATGTTGTAAAGTTTTTGTAGTAACGAGCATGAACCACCTAGAATTACAAGAGGCATCCTGTTTATACTAAAATATAATTTGGACATGTCTTATGGATGCCAAATAGATAGATTGTGTATGGTACATGATCACATTTTATTTCATTACTTTAATATATTTAGTTTATTTTTTTATTTGTTTCTTTTTAGAACAAGTAGCATGATCACTTTGTTACTTTCGAAAAGAAAAAACAGATTAATGATCTGTATTATCGAAGTACAATAGTAGGGAGGAGCAGGTCAGGTCTGGGCAGAGGCCAAAGGGCATGAAAATATAACTAACCATAGATTCATGTTAGTGCTAAACAATAGAGTGCCTGTCCTACTTAATAATAGCTTATTCATAGAATATGAATGTTGTTAAATATTTCAGAACCGAATGGTATTAATATGATAAAAATGAGGAAGCAAATTGGACACTAATTAATCATGGATAGCCTCTTGATGTTCAGCCATTGTTATACTTCTTGTCACATTAATGTGCATGTGCACATGTTATGATCGGTGGGCATGACCTGGTGAATGTGTCGCTGACCCGCTGTGTACTCTAATAAATTATTGATGCCCTAAGCTGTAATGGACTAATATTTTAGAATTCATCGCTGACCCTTTATTTGGGTTGGTCAGACGTGTAATTGCTGTGGGTGCAACAATAACCTATTTAACCGATCCCATTTCTGTAGCTTACGTGTCTTGTCGGTCTGTAACAATACTTTCATCACAAAAATCGTGCCTATATGTTTCTCTTCTAACATTTTACATCTGGAAAGAGCAGAAGCAGTAAATACCTTTTGCTCTCAGTAGTAGTTATTTTCTAACATTCATTGTCTTCGCTCATGGTCATAATCGCTTATCACTGTTCGAGCTGTGTCTGAATTTTTAAGCATTGTTCCTTTTTATTAGTTTTGTTTCATTTATTTATTTATTGGAGTTGGGTGGAACAGTGGTTGATTTTATAAAATAGTATAGAACTCTTTCAAAATCTAGTTACAAGAGGTCTGCTATAACAGTAACATTTTTATTTAAGACCTATCACTGATAACTGCCAAGGCAGGATAAGTAATTGCCATGAATTAGTTTAAGTAGTAGCTTTTCCAATATTTAGACTTCTAATAGAGAAATTAAGTAGATTATTCTACAATGTCAGTTGTAAACTATAGTATGTTTCCAGTTCTACTATGAAGTTTTTACTTATAAAATTTTATTTGTGCAGCTTTCACGTTTGAAAACTAGAACAAGGAAACCACATACTTTACTGAAAATCGTCTCCTGTGGAAAGTGTTTCTCCGCCAAGTCTCCAAGGTGATACAAGAATACATATTGGATTCCTCAGAGGAGCTTGGCACAGACCTCATTTGGATTAATTATTTGTATTTATTCATCTTCATGATGCTTACAAGGTCAATCTGTCAGTCAAATCCTTTCTTTTAATAAAGATTAAATTAGAATAGAAGAAATGAATAGTGCATCCTTCATTAATAAACTTTCAGTTGTTTTCTTTGCAGATCTTTTTGTTTTAAGGTCTTTCACCCTTCAAAATTATTGCATCCTTCCATTACTCGTTGTGGTCGTAGTCTATGGTGTGTATCATGCTTTTCTTTTTTTAGAACAAAGTTACAGAACCGCGACAAGTGCAGAACACCAGTTTGGTTTCTTCAAACTTGCCTGCTGAAAGAGCTACAATTTCCTCCAGAGAAAGCTCAGAGGCTCTATTATGGTGAGTTCATAAGAAAAGATTAGTGTGATAGTCCAAGTTACATCCTTTATCATCGTTGCCACTATGATTTAGTCTTTGAAAAATGAATCTTGGACATGTAGAATGTATTTATCCTTTGGTTATGTTTTTTGGTTGATTGGTGGACATGAGAAGTCGTTTTTATAGTAGTGCTTCTAAAACACGTCGATTCCAATGCATGCATGAAGATACGAGTTTTGCTTTCAACAGCAAAAATAGCATTTCCAAAATGTTTACTGAACTATGGTGGAGAGAGATGAATGTTCTTTCCGCGAAAAACAAATTATTTTCATTGAGTCAAGAGTGGTTATTGTTTATTCCATTATTTTTGGCCCAGTGGAAAGGCGACATGTGGCGAGTTCCAACTCTAATAAATTATTATTGGAAGTTATGTAATATCACGTAGTAATTGAAATCAAAGACAAGTGGACCAATATAATTCTACCATGTGGGGTTTTCTATCTTTAAGGAAAGAGGTGAGTCCTATTAGGACTTGCCATCTTTAAAACAAGGGCCCACGTCTTCCTATATGGAATGAGTTTTACTACATATGGTGAGTTCTACTGAGCTTACTATGGTACTTACTGCTGTGGATCAATTCTTTTAAGGGATTGTTATCTTACCATTTGGTAAGACCAAAGTTGGTTTAGCCAAAAAGAAGGAGAACGAGGGGTTGATTCTCTCCTTATTTTTAGGAGACTTCATTTAGCCATGTCAAACAATGTTACTAAAAGGGAGGAGACGTGGGAGTTTAATTTCTATAAATATATATATACACAAATAAGGAGAGAAATTAAACTCCCACGTCTATATATATATATATATATATATATAGACGTGGGAGTTTAATTTCTCTCCTTATTTGTGAGGAATGAATCTATGGCGCCATGGGTTCTAAACGAGGCAAAGCTAAAGAGAAGCTGTTAAAATTAAGGAGACGTGATTATCCAATATGAAGGATGATATATCTATTCAAGGAAGGAACAACCCATGATAAAAGCTAAAATCAAGGAAGCGTGGTCTATGAAAGGAAAGGAAGTGGGTTGGATATAAACAGTTCTAAAATCTAGGAGGTCATGGCCCATGAACTCTAAACCTAGAAGGAAATTCTCAAGGTGGAAGTTGCCAAAATCATGGAAACGTGGTTTACAAGAGAAAAGGGACGTGGGGAATATATGTATATATGGATATATATTTATGTATATATATTTATATATCAGATATAACTCATGAAAGGGAAATCGCTGAAAGAAGAGACCACGACGCCATGAATGAAATATTTCCCACGATGAAAAAGTCACTGAAATTTAGGGACCACGACGCCATCAAGCAAGAAGGGAAAGTCTGATTAAGGAAGATTACTAAAATATGGAGATCATGGTCAGTAGACGTGGGGAATGATGTATTCATGGATATATATAGTTACATATATATTACCCATGATGAAGATATCGCTGAAAGAAAAGGGCCACGGGCGTCATGATACAAAGACCAGAATGGAAAGTCCAACCAGAAGAGGTTACCTAAAGCCAAAGGAATGTGGGTATATGAATAATTTCTATATACATGCATGATATATATAGAAATTATACAAAGGAAGGTTCTACAGAAGGGGAAGACTATTAGAAATCGTGGGACACTTGGCCAAACAAGAATACGTCGGTTGAAAGTGGTGGAACTTCATATGGTAACTACCACTAACTGAGGGAGTGTTTGAAGATAATGGATGACATGGCTAAATTAGGGGAATCATGGTCTGAAATAAAGGAGAAGACAACGCATGAGGGAGAAGACTAAGGAAGACATGGGACATGTGGCACAATCCGGACCTTCTGGGTGGAAATTCTTAACTGCTGCTGCAACTGCTGCCTTTCCATCTAGGCAATTCCAGAACGTGGGAGAAGGCTCACCAACATGTATACAACTGCCAAGGCCACTAATTATCAGTTGTAGATCATGGAAGAAAATGGTTTTACACTTGGCAGTATCTAGAGAAGGTTGGAAGATCATGGGACACGTGGCAGTCCGAAGTCAGTCCACGTGGAAGCTGCTGAAGCTGCCACCTCAAGATGCTTCATGCATGGAAAGTCCTATAAATAGAGCACTTAGAGTTAGTTTGCAAATCCTGTTCAAATCACACAGCAAAACAACACTTCAATTCCTTACATTCATGTATCTTTACATTTATGTAATGCAATTTCAATATGTTTAATTCAAGTCCTGCACTTATTATTCCTATTTTCCAGCACTTTATTTTGAAGTCCTGCACTTTCAATACCGCTTTCCTTTCCACTAGCCATAGTTCAGTCCGAAAGTCATTTTTCAAGGCAAAAAGAACCCTTGAAGGTGGTAATTCTAGTCCTTCACTCAATTGCCTGATCCCTGCAATTTCCTACTGGATAGTTGTTTGGATATCCACTTTGGAACGACAGCAGTTCCTGGTACGTCCGACATCTACTCCTACTTTCCACTCACCTGAAAAGCGGAACTAACGCTTCTCTGCGAGCCGAACAGTTATATTGAACATTCTTGTAGAACTATGGTATAGAAAATGAGGAAGTCGCATTTTTCCTTGTTTGTTGAAGAAAGCTGTGGTGATTTAGAATTGGTGGTGCCAACTCATTGAATTGAAATTCTTCTACTCTTAGAATTAGAATTGTGGACCATGTTTGTTCAAAATTTATTGATTTCAAATTATTATTATTTTTTATGTAAAGTGTTAAATTATTCTGACTTGACTTGGAACAAGACTTGATAAATGGCTTAACTTGCTAAACAGTTCTTCTGGGATTTAATCTGAATGATTCCCTATATTTTCTTGAAGTTTTCAAATTGAATAATTTGCAGGCTATTTTATTTGTAGTTTTATATTATTTCTATTTTACGTAGTGGTATTATGAGACATGGTTATATATATATCTAATTTTTTTTTTTTTTTTTCACATTTATATTTTGTCAATATCTTTTTGTTGCTTATGTTCACCTGATTAGAGGGAGGTATGACTAGCAATAGCCAGTAGCAAGAGAACAATCTAAATTGATTAATTTAATATCGATAGTTACAAGTGTTTGAACAAGTCAGCACAAGCTAGTGTGTGATATTGGTAAGAGACAAATTTATTCATGGTCTTTTAATCAGATGTCGTGACCCACTAAGGCACCGATGTTGACTTTGAACAGCCGGACTTGTAGACATTTGGCATCTAAAAAAGGAGGAAGACAACGTTTCTCGGTCTTTCTAAGAAATTTACAGCTCTTATCATTTGCCTAATTTAATGTTGCCTCAATTTCTCCAAAGAAATTTTCATTCATACTTTTTTGGTAATGACCATAATGACAAACTCATTTTTTTTCTTTCGGAAAATGACAAACTCATTCATATATGGAAATATTGAAAACAAAAATATAATTAGGCACTAAATATAATGATATAATTGTATAGAGTAATCTTCTCAATTTGAAAGATGTCAAATGGGGAATATGTGAGTGGCGTGTGAATCCCATTAAATGATGTTGGAGAAATATCATGTTATGGGATTTATATTTGCACTCAATGTAATACTCCAATCGCCATTCTCTTAATAAAAAAAATGTATCATTTTATAAGAATAAAATTAAAAGAAAACCACTAATTTCAAAAGATGAAACTACCCACAATAATCAGGATAAATGAGATTTTGTTCATGAACCATTTTTAGTTAGTGGAGTGACGTAGCACTTTTAGTATGCTAATTTTCAATACATTAATGTATAAATTTTAATATGTTTGGTATGGTTGTATTGCTGCATCCATGGTATGATTACAATTTGAATATTTGATATTTGAAAAGCAATACAATATCTTATTTTTCATCTCTTTATGATTACTACCACTTATTTATTATCACAAAAAGTTATAAATTTTTTTCTTAATTTAACTTCCACAATACCTTCCGGGATACTTGAATGGTTGAAGCTTTTATATTTTATTCTTAAATGAGAGAATATATCACTAGATCACATGCTTTAATGGTCAAACTCTGACTTACTCGATTCAACAATTCCTATATTCATGAATTAATATTTCACATGCTCATTTCAATTGATAATTGAGGTGGGACTCCATGTTTGGACCCTACTACGCACATATCAGAGGAATGGAAAGCCTTTTGACTCCCCATTCCTCACGCAATGAAATAAGTTCGTAGAGTATATCATTTAATCTTTCAATTATCATGACACATTTGGTATGTTGCTCAGTATAATGGTTATATATATATAACCATTATACTGAGCAACATATATGACTTGCTGATTTCAATTGCTGATATATATATGGACACTTATTCATTTGCAATTGTTGATTATTCCCGCGGATTTGACCCCATTGGTCTTGTCTGTTTCTCTCCTTTTCAGTTTTTCCCTTTGAGGACGGCACACGTCGACTGGAACCAACACAAGACGACTGACTCTCCTCCACCTTAACGTGCTTCTAAAGGCACAGCAAGTGGACCCCTAAACACTCCTTCCACATTAGATACGTGGGACCCTAAACCAACTCCAACATTTTCTCCCACACAACAACCATCTATTGTCCAAACAAAAACCGAAACCCTTCAATTAGAGTGCGTGGATCAATTAATCTTAAACTTATTTTTACTACTAGTATATATATATATATATATATATATATATATTTTGATTATATTCGATTACATGAAATTAATATAGAGAAAAAAATTATTTAAAATTTAAATTAATTTTTCTTTAATTTTTATTTTAAGACATCAATTCAAACATAATATGTATTTTAAATATAATTAATTAATTATCAATTGTGATGGTCGGGTGGAATCTTTTTTTATGTCCTGGGAATAGAAAATTGATTGTTGAAATTTCCATAGGAAGATTAGATAGTGGGAATGTCTTGATTGGTTTGAAAACTTAGTTCATTATTTGACCAAGTCTTAACTATTTAAATAGGACAAGTTCAATTGACCCAGAATTCTTATTTGTATGATTCAACTCTTTATTTTATTTAGTTGAATTTTTTAAATGGTTTGCTTCTACGAAGCACATATACGAAAATAAATAAATAAATACCTGTATGACCGAAAAAAATAATTTTATGTATAAAAAATACATTTCTATCAAATTCTTGTAATATTATGAGTCTAAAGGCTATTATTAACACATAAAACAAAACCCTCTAATCATTACTTAATAAATTTTAAACTTTTTAAAAAAATTATACTATGACTTACAAAAATTGTGTTATGAAATATATGAGAAGTATCTGATACACAATTAAAGATCTGAAAAATATTGGATAAGTGTTAAAAAACTAAAAATATATTTTAAAATTATGAACATGCTTTCTAGGTTTGGAATTTTTTTTTTTTTAACCCATCAAGGAGATTTGATGCTTTACCTACATTAACCTAGGTAAGCTAAATATAGTAAAAAGTAAATAAAATATAATAATTATGAAGTCACTTTAGTCACGTGAAGCAAGAATAAAAAGATGTAAAATTAAATTATAAATAAGGAGAATTTGAACTAAAACGTACAGTTAAACGTGAAAAGCCAGAACACAATCCAAACGAAGGAGCGACACTGTGTGACTTAGTAACTTGGAGACTCGGAGTGGGACAAATATTCAAAAGTAACAATACTGTAGATGATTAGATACACATATGGTTACACCAAATTAAAAGTGAAAATACGAAAAAGTTGACCAATTGCCCAAATCTAAAGTTGAATCAATCAGAGTACTTGACTATGACAATCTAAAATGAATACAAGTCACTTTATAAGTAGGCACTGTTGTCCTCTGTGTTGGATAGTAAACGAATGAACAGCAATTTGGATTCCCCAAAGACCAAGAACAGGAAGGTCATTTTCATGGAAGTTGCATCGAAAATCTTAGAGAGAGAAAATCAATTCCACAACTTGTATCGGAAATTCAGTCAACACCATTTCTTCTCCTTGTTCACACCCCCTTTCCACTGAATTTAAAGCCACCTTCGAAACATTCACAATTCAAACACCATTAACAATCACAATATCATTCAGTACTCTGTTCTCAGAGAGAGAGAGAGAGAAATTCTCTGTCTAATTGCAAACACATTTTTAGAGAGAGAAAGGTGATATATTTCGAATGGCTTCAGCTTCGATATTCTCGTCTCTGAGGATGAGAAGGTCACCTTGTCTGGTATCCGTGAAACCGCCTGAGGACATAACCGGCATCGAGCTCGTCGACACCCTAGTTTTGCTGTCGTCGGAGCTGACCAAGACATGTTCCGGCAAAACGTTGCCATTTCAGAAGAAGAATTCGCGGTCTCTGACACGAAAATTCGAGGTCTTCGTGGTTCTGTTGGAGTATATTCGTGACTCAGGAACGAGTTTGCCTTCAACGGCGATTCTCTGCTTGAAAGAGCTCTATCTGATATTGCATCGCTCAAAGATACTTCTCGAGTACTGTTCTCACTCGAGTAAATTATGGCTTTTGCTTCAAAACCATTCAATTTCGGGGCATTTTCATGATCTTAATCAAGAAATCTCTACGCTTTTAGATGTTTTTCCCACGAAAGAGCTCAATTTGAGTGATGACATCCGAGAACAAGTTGAATTGTTGCAGAAGCAATTGATACGTGCCAAACTTGTCATTGACAAACATGACGAGACATTGAGACTCGAATTGTTCTCAATTCTCAATGAATTTGAAAACGGAGAAATTCCCGATTCAGTCAAATTGTGTTTGTTTTTCGAGCAAAGATTAGGAATTCAAGATGCAAAGAGTTGCAGGGGTGAAATTGAGTTTTTGGAGGAGCAAATTGTTAATCATGAAGGAGATATTGAGCTGACCATTTCGGTGCTTAATGGATTTATGGCGCTTACTCGGTATTGCAGGTTCTTGTTGTTTGGGTTCGAGGAAGATGAAGATGATAAGAAGCTCAAAAAAGGGTTGATTACTCAACAAATTGTAGATATAGATGTAGATGCTTCTCTTATGATTCCGAAGGACTTTTGTTGCCCAATATCATTGGAGTTGATGCAAGATCCTGTGATTGTCTCTACAGGGCATACATATGACCGAGCTTCGATATCGAGATGGATGGAGGAAGGCAATTGTACTTGCCCAAAAACAGGGCAGATGCTCGTTCACAGTCGGCTTGTGTCAAATCAGGCACTCACGAACTTGATTATGCAATGGTGCACTGCTCATGGAATACCATTTGACCCACCGGATAGTGATGATTTGTGTGCTGAAAGTTTTGCTGCGGATTCCGCGAGCAAGGCTACCATTGAAGCTAATAAAGCTACAGTTGTTCTTCTCATTCAACAGCTAGCAAATGGATCACAGGGCGCGAAAACTATTGCAGCCCGGGAGATTCGTTTGCTAGCAAAAACCGGGAAGGAAAACCGGGCTTACATTGCAGAAGCTGGCGCAATCCCACATCTAAAACGGCTGCTTTCATCTCCCAATGCTGTTGCACAAGAGAATTCTGTCACTGCAATGCTGAATTTATCGATTTATGGCAGCAACAAGAGGTTAATTGTGGATGAAGAAGGGTGTTTAGGGTCAATTGTTGAAGTTATGAGAACGGGGCACACGATTGAGGCAATGGAAAATGCTGGAGCAACATTATTTAGCCTCTCTGCAGTGCATGAGTACAAGAAGAGAATAGCCAATGAGGATGGAGCAGTTGAAGCCCTGGCAAGAATGTTGAGAGAGGGGACACCAAGAGGAAAAACGGATGCAGTTACAGCTCTATTCAATCTATCCACCCACACAGATACTTGTGCGAGAATTATAGAGTCAGGCGCTGTGACTGCACTGGTGGGGGTTTTGGAAGATGAGGGTGTTGCAGAGGATGCAGCAAGCGCATTGGCCTTGATTGTTAGGCAGCCACTTGGGGCCGAAGCAGTGGCGAATGAGGACACAGCAGTGGCGGGATTGATAGGAATGTTACGGTATGGGACTGCAAGAGGGAAGGAGAATGCAGTTGCAGCATTGCTTGAGTTGTGTCAGAGTGGTGGGGCAGCTGCAACTGAGAGGGTAGTGAAGGCACCAGCTTTGGCCAGTTTGCTTCAGACTTTGCTCTTCACGGGGACTAAGCGCGCGAGGAGAAAGGCAGCATCACTTGCTAAAGTTTTCCAAAGGAGTGAGAATGCATACCTGCATTTTGGTGGATTAGGTGTAGGATATGCCTTTGCAGGGAACTCCGCTGCAAATAGGGAATTAAGTTTTGCTCATGATGTTTCCGTGCCAATATCCATTTCAGTGCCAGTTTTATAGTATATTTGTCCTTCCCAATTAATTTCCGTTTTTTTGGTTTTTGTAACATTCAAAAATACTTGTAACATTCACAGATTTTTTAGGAATAGCAAAATTGATGTGTCCTGAAAGAATGATTCGAGTGTAGCTATTCTTTATGTAGTGTCCAATTATTTGAAACATACTTCAAAATATGCTGTGGTAAATTCTTCCTCTTCTATTATTTGGTTCTTCCTTTTTATCACCTTAGGCATCAAACTCATAACCCAACCCCATCCACTAGATGTCATGCAAGCACAGAACCTAAAAAAGCATTGACAAGTAAAATACCTGAAAATTTGTATACTTGCAGCACTAGAAGGGTAAAAGCACCAAATACAAGGTATCAGCAACCAGTTTGCTTTGATAGAGTCCAACCACTCAAAAACATGAGCACTTCCACATCAGTGTGCTGAAGTTGCACTCATCATGGTTTCCTCTTGTAACCTTTTTAAAATGACTTGTATCAAAATAGACATTTGGATGTTAGAGATCCATCTGAATCTGAGTTCTTGATGAAATTCCACTAGGAGCAATATCTTCTTAAAATTGAGAGCATTATCTGTGGTGGGGCAGGCCTTCAGTGTAAAACAAACTTTATCAAATTAGAATGAATATGAAATATCTAATATGCCCAAGAGGCCACTTAACTGGGAAAATAACTAGGCACTATCTGTTGGAAATCATGGTGGTTGAGCTCTTTTAAAGTAGAATGAAAACACAATATTAAGAGAGGCGTAGAAAAATTAACTCAACAAAGATTAATGTCATTCAAGTTGAAAGCATAATACGACTAAACAATACGGTAATAAAGTGATCAATAGGTATATTCACGTGGGGTTCGAATGATTTTAAATTCAAAAGGGCTTCATGGAAATCATATGCATTTCTGCAACAATTTACCAACACCATTTGAGGTAGGCTAGTAGAATATGCATTAAGGGGTATAGATGTTTCTAGGTGAAAGATTTTAAAGCTAATAACCCACTGAAAATAGAAGAAGAAATAAAAGGGAAGCACATCAGTGCAAAAGGTACTAAAGAATATCATTCATTAATTGAAGGACTTCCAATAGAACAAGTTATGCATTCTTATCAGATGCATGCTTCATAATAAGCACTTAAAGGGGTACTATAAAACTGCAAAAAGAATTCCCAAAGAATACCACAAAATTTTTCAATATTGTCTTGTGATTCAGTAGTAATGTGTCAATAGCTCATATGAAACACTCTCTTAATACAAAAGGTCTTCCATTATATGAAATTGTCCTGTGAAGATGGATTTAATAAAGGAGACACATCATCTAGGGTTTCCAGATTTTAAAGTTACAACAGGTTGTTTCCGTAAGCAAGTTTTTCCCTTCAAAATCCGTCTCATATGTCCTTGTGGCTTCAATATTCCACAGCCTGCATCATACGCCAAAAACCTCTCATTGCTTTCAAACAATACAGTTCTCATACCCAATGTGAAAGTCTTTAATATCAAAAGAATTCACCATAAGGACTCAGAGTTGTGAATCTTATTACGAACTTTCCTATATCTCAAGCCTGCTTGGCTTAATTATTCCTTCACCGGCTAAGAACTCATGAACAACACCATTTACTTCAATCATGCTACATCCAGGATCTTTACTCACTCCTTGTGCCTTCATCTTCCTCCTCACCTCCGTAACATCATTCCATCTCCCCATTGACGCGTGAATATTTGACAGTTGAACATAACCGGAACTGTCTTGAGGATCCATATCCAAAATCTTCTTGGCAACACGCGCTGCCAATTCGAGATTACCATGATTTCTGCAAGCACCCAATAGAGACTCCCAAACCAAAGGAGCTTCTTTATGCGGCATTGTTCTCAAAAGTTCCTCGGCCTCTTCTAATAATCCGAAGCGGCCCAGTAAATCCACCATACAGCCATAGTGCTCTATGGTTGGCTCAATGCCATGAACACTAACCATGAGGTCAAACATCTCACGTCCCTCATTTAACAAACCAGCTCGGCTGCAGGCTGACAGAACACTGATGAAGGTGACCTCGTTTGGGCTAAAACCATTCACCAGCATTTGGGAGAAAATCTTTAATGCATGTTCTCCAAAACCGTGGATGCTTAATCCTGCAATAATTGAATTCCATGTACTGATATCCTTCATTGAAGTACTATCAAAAACTTCTAAAGCCTTCTCAATACACCCGCATTTTGAATACATGTCTACGAGAGCAGTGGCTAGAAAACCATTAATATCAATGCCACTCTTATCAACATATGCATGAACCCACTCTCCTTGACTTAAAGCTCCAACACGAGCACAAGCAGATAACACGTTGACAAGCGTTCGACCATCCGGCTTCACCTTCCCGCTTTGCATTTTCTCAAAGAGCACCAAGACTTCATCAAAACGACTTTCATGAGCATAGCCCGTGATCATTGCATTCCACGAAACAACATCTTTCATTGGCATTTCGTTGAAAATTCTTCTAGCTTCATCAAGTAGCCCAACACCTATATACCCCGAAATCATGAAGTTCCAAGACTCCAAGTTTCTTTCTGGCATCTCATCAAACAACCCACGCGCAAAGTCCATCAAACCCATTTCCACATACGCACTCAATATCGCATTCCACGATATAACATCACTTTCAGGCATTCCATCAAGCAAACACCGCGCAATTTCAAAACACCCACAATTCGCATACACATGAATCAAAGTATTCCATATATACGCATCATACCCAATTCCAAACTTAATCACATGACCATGAACCTGTCGACCCTCTTTGACACCACGAAGACTCGCACAAGCCTTCAAAGCAAAAGTGAAAGTGTACTTATCCGGGAACAAATGATCATCATTCAGCATTTGCTCATAAACCATGAGGGCATGTTGTGGGTTGGGACTATTGGCATAGGCTCGTATCATGCTGTTATAGGTATACGAGTTTGGGTGTTGTATACGAGTGAATATGGAGTGAGCATAAGCAACACTTTGGGAGCTGGTGTTGGTGGCAGAAAAAGCAATGAGCCGGCTTGCAGCGAAAGGGTCTTCCATGAGGCCGGTCTTGAGCATGTGGGCGTGAGCTTGGTGAAGCTCCGAGATTGAATTGGCCATCTCTGTAAATGAGAGAATTGGTGGAGATTTAAAGATTGCAGACATTGTAGACCAAAGACAAGTGCAAGACCCGCCTAGTTACACAGCCTCACAGGTTCTGAAATTTTTTTAGAGACCAATATCCTGAACCATTGCTCCCAACCAATTATTATTGGACAAAAAAACAGAATAAAACTTAACAAGTTAGGACACAATTACTTATGTACCGGGAAGCACCGACACTCCGCCCGTCCTAAAGTTTAAATATTTTATTTTTTTGTTTGGACCCGGTATGGACACAACAAAGGTAAGTTTTGAACACATAAGCCTAGGTGTGATAGCCTGGACTAAAATGAAATGACCATTCCATTTTCTCATTTTTTTTTTCTTATTGGGTGTATCACTTTAAAAGTGAAATAGTCATTGCTATATAATCTCATTCTAGCTTTAAGATGGAATGACCTTTCCTTTTTTGGACTTCTGGAACGATCATTCCATTTTCACTAAATTAAAATAATAAAATGTAAGGACAAACAAACTATAGGTATTTTTCTTTACAAATCTGACAGGCTCTCTCTCCATCTCTCCTCTCTCGCTATGTCACGGTACACCATCTCTCTCTCCTTTTTCTCTCTTCACGCACAGTATACCATGGAATATATATATATCTCTATTTGCAGTTTGTGCTCTACAATTTGTTCTATATATATATATATATATATATATATAATATATATCATATATCCGCTGGTTGGGGAAAAGAAAAGGAATTTGATTAAAGAAAAACAAAAAAGATTCTTTCGCAATCCGGCCATCATATACGTATCCACAGGAGAAAAGAAAGGGAAATAGAGGAATTAATTAAAGAAAAAAAAAAAAGATTCTTTTGCAATTCAGCCATCATATACATATACATAGGGGAAAAGAAAAGGAAATAGAGAAATTGATTAAAGAAGAAAAAAAAGATTCTCTTTTCCTCAAAGTACGTTTTGCTTATTCATATTTTTCTTATCTGGCAGATTTTCAGAACAACCAAACAAGAGCTAAGTGAAATTCAAGCAAATAATTGTGTATATATATATATATATATATTTTTTTCGCATTTTATAAAAATACATTAATTGGTATAAGCTAGTTTTATTATATAATAAGAATATGTCATTTTATTTTAATATAACTCAAATATTACAAGTAAGAATATTTTGGAGAAACCAATTTATAAATTAATCATTCCATTCCAGCTTTTTATTTGATCTAACTAAACATAGGAATGAGAATGGTTATTCCATTATCTGTTTGTATGCAAACAGTGGAATGAAAATGATCATTCAATTCCTACATCATTTACATTCCATTCCCACTTGCATTTCATTCATGCCTCATTCCATTCTTGCGCACCAAACATGCCCTTACAGAATATGGCGGAGTGATTTTGTATATTTTTTTTAAAAAAATAAATAAAATTCAATGCAATTTAAAATATATTATGCACTAATACAAAAATAATAATAATAATAATAATATAAAGTTTAAAATAATAAACATTTAATTTTAAACTCCAAAATAATGATGTCATTCATGCTTATGCGGATAAAATGTATAAAAATGATTGTTTTTATATATATAATAAAATATTATATAATTATTATTTGAATTATTCATACCGCATCCGTGTTTATCGTGTTGTACCTTTGTCGGTGTCCGTGTCCGTATCCGTATACATGCTTCTTAACTTATGTGTCTATTAATAATTATAATTGGTTCAGAATCAATGGTCCCAGACCACGCAATAACTTCTGATTTGGTTATGGGAAATTATTGAGTAGATATTGTGTGCGCCATAAGGGCGGATTCAGAAATTATTAATGGAGTGAGTTAATACTACTAATAATTTCTTTTTTTTTTTTTTTTTTTGAGCTGGATTAAAATGTACTATAGTAAATAATATATATATTTTTTGGGTGGGCTTGAGTGAGCCCATTCAAGTCCACCCCAGGATCCGCTAGTGGCGCCGGGCATACTAATGACATGGTATGTCTGGCCAATGAAAATTAATATAATAGTTAGTTAAGATGAATTTTAAAAATTAGATGAGACCAATTTCATAAGATAATATATTTTCACTGGTGACACGCCTGATACACAATATCTTCAATAGTTCAGGACCATTGATCTCACCCAATCAGGTGTTTTGAGAATCTGAGAATCTCTAGAGTACCACCGAATTCATTATGTCAAGGCAATAATTTTTAATATTTTAATCTTTTAACTTCGTATTGTTTTGTTGCAAAATAATTTTACTGCCATTTATGCAACGACCAACTTAAATAGTTTTTAGTTGAGAATTTGCCTCCTCCTGTGCCATCTTGTTTACCGTGCCAAAAAAATAATCTCATTTTCTAAGACTGGAATGTTAATTGCGCGATTGCCCATTCACAGTCGAATGGGCAGTCGCCAGTTATGATAGGTTAGTTTTGGATGTATTAATTAGTTTGAGATTATATTTTATGGGACTCTACTAACATTATTTTTTAAACAAAAATATCCTTTTAAATTATCTAATTTTTTTTTTCTCTTCTTCTTTCCTCTTTTAATCAAGTATGTGTGGTTAATTATGTGATAGGATAATTCATTCACAAGAGATGGATGGATTCGGAAAAAAATAAAAGGAAGAAGAAAAAAAAAAAGGAGCAAGAAAAAAAATCCAAAAAGAATAAAAAGAAAGGTAAAAAAAATGGATTATATATTTCTTCCTTTTTGTTTTTTCCTATATATATATATATATATTTTTTTTTTTTGTTTTTATTTTTAATTTTTACAACTATCTTTGTATAAATAGATTTAAAAAATAAAAAAAAGGAAATAAAAGAAAAGGAAATAATTCCTTCACCAAAAAAGAAATATATACGTGTATAAAACTAATTTTGTATATATATATATATTTTAAATCTCAGAATCTATTTTGTTCTTTTTCAGATTTTTTTTTTTTTTTTTTTTTTTTTTTCCCCTCAAGATCTATTTACTGTGAGCTAACTTCTTCTTCTGTTTTTTTTTTTCAACATCCATTCATATCACATTAGTTATTATTATTATTATTATTATTATTATATATATACACATACACATACGTACATATTTTTATATAAATCAATTAAAAGAGGAAATAAGAAGAAAGACATAACTTAAAAGAGTATTTTTGTCTAAAAAGTAATGTTAGTAGAGTCCATAAAAATAAAAACTCAAAATAATTAATGTATTCAAAACTAACCAATCTTAACTCACAACTATAAATGGACAGTCAATTGTGCGAGTGCAATTAACATTTCTCTTTTTAAGATTATAACTTCTTATAATTGTGAAACGATTTTACCGTAACAACTAACTTAAATAGTTTATATTCGAGAATCTGAATCCTGCTACCGTGTTTACTGTGCCAAAACAATAATCTTATGTTATAGCTTCGTTTCGTTACAAAATACTATTTTACTGTCATTAACTAGCGTAATATACTCACATGGACATGGTGGTAAGATGCAGAAGCCAACACGAGTGATTCTGATCTGCAGGAGAAGTGGCTTTCTCGTAATATTATCATCAGATATGGGCAGAAATTTAAAACAAGTGTATTTAGCTTAGCTTCTTACGACTAATCTCACCTCATTTATGTGACTTAATACTTTGATCAAAGCCATCAAACCGGTTCACTCCACACCTCACCGGTTTCCGACTGTGTTGACCCGGTTCTCTGATACTTGCCGAGTTTTGAGTCCGAGTCGGATAGCCAATCGATCTGTGATTCGGATCGATTCTTCGTCTTCCACAATTCCGGAGATTGGTATGACGTCGGGGGCGAGGCTTCCGACTTGGAAGGAGAGAGAGAACAACAAGAGGAGAGAGAGACGACGGCGGGCGATCGCGGCGAAGATCTTCGCCGGACTGAGGATGTACGGGAACTACAAGCTCCCCAAGCACTGCGACAATAATGAGGTCTTGAAGGCTCTCTGCAACGAAGCTGGTTGGATCGTTGAAGAAGATGGCACCACTTACAGAAAGGTAACAACGAATTCGCTGTCTCTCTCTCTCTCTTAAATCTGTTCTTCTTCCTGCTCACGTTAGCAACGGAAGTTCGAATGCACCGGTGGGTGGTACAAATTTACGACTTGCAGATCTAGAATTCGTTAGTGTCAGCTTTTTTTGTTCTCTTTTTTCCTTCTGTGGAATTTAGGTCAGATTTACGATTGTGTTATCTGCTAAAGTACGCCTCATGCATAGGATTGTTTGTGCTCTCTCTAAACATTCTTGCAAGTTTCTAAAACTCTAGCTAGCTTAATGTTAATAGGGCATCTATGTCATTTTAAGGACAATTAATCTCCTAAATTGAACTCTTATTTGCTTTACTGCCTCTGATGCTAAATTACCAATTTACATTATTTATTTATTTATTATTTTTTTAAGATAATTAATTTTCAATTTTGCGGTATCTGTTTGTGATGTTTTCTTTCTTTTAGAGATTTGCATTTCTGAGCTCTTTCACTTTTCTGGGAATGAGTTTGATTTCAATTTTTGCTCCTCTTGCCAATCTGATAGAATTAAAAAAATAACAATTAGAAAATTGTTTAGTTGACAATTTCATAGGTTAATTTTTTATACTTTTCTGAAAAATTATTTGTGGATTTGAGTTCCTGAAAACTCTTTTCAAAGAACTGAACCCTGTATAGGTCAATGATGGACATATTCAAAGATCTAATGAGGGCTTTTCCTTTTCTAAGTTCCCCTGCAAATTCTTTTCCACTCAGGTGTCATTGTTGTGGAATGGTGCGACTACGTGGGGGGTGCTGTTTTTTTGGCTTCTGGTTGCTAATAATGGGTCATTGTTAATTATGTGAGATTTTTGTATCGGAGAGCCTTTTAATTCCCATCCAAAATTAGTGAAGGATGCCACCACGCCCATCAGTTCTTACCGGAGGCATGCCGTGTATAATGAGGCTTGCTCTAAAAGGAGAATATAGTGCAACCTCAACACAATAGCTACAGAACCTAAACAAACAAGTAAATAATTGTTTTGCACAAAATCGAATTCAGTAAGGGATCTTTGCCCAATATGTTATGAACTAAGACCTGGAGAGTTGTCTTTGTGTTAATTGAATCCCTGCCAGATGATTGAGCTGCGGTTTATCCAGTATGACCTAGTAGACTTTGGTACCAATGGAAAATTTGCTGTGATGTGTTAGGCCCAGGAACCACAAGCTAAATAAACTTGTGATATTTGCAATTTTATTTGAAAGCATCGAGTATTATAGTCATGAAAAACCTTTTGACAACTAGCACAATTGAAGTCTCATGAGAATATGTTATCTGTCGGTCATTTGTATGATTTGCTATTAGGGAACCATACTCATGTTTCTGTCCAACCAACTAATTAAAGAAATAGTTTGGTACTTTTAAGGATATCGTATTCTGTAATTGTGATATGATAATATTTTTACAACTGCAGTTACATTTGCAGTCACCATATTTTGCTTGCCACTAATGGTAATTTGTCACAGGATTATTTTTGAACTTCTTTATTTTGCTTGCCACTAATCGTCTTTGTCCTTCTGCAGGGATGCAAACCTATGGATCCCATGGATATTATGTGTCGATCAGCTTCCACAAGTCCTTGTTCATCATACCACCAAAGTCCGTGTGCATCCTACAATCCCAGTCCTGCTTCATCTTCCTTCCCAAGCCCGGTCTCATCCCATTTTGCTGCAATCACTAATGGTAATGCTGATGCCAACTCTCTCATCCCATGGCTCAAAACCCTTTCGTCTAGTTCATCCTCGGCGTCATCCACACTTCTCCACCATCTCAACATCCATAGTGGTTCTATAAGTGCTCCAGTCACCCCACCATCTAGCTCGCCTACTGCTCAAACCCCCCGAATGACAGAAAATTGGGATGACAGAACTACTGGTCTAGCCTGGACTGGTCAGCACTGCACCTTCCTACCCTCTTCCACCCCACCAAGTCCTGGCCGCCAAACACCGCTTGATTCGGGATGGTTCTCTGGTATGCAAACTCCCCTGGAAGGACCATCATCTCCGACATTCAGCCTTGTCTCGCCAAACCCATTTGGGTTCAAGGAGGCATTTTATGGTGGAGGGTCTAGGATGTGGACTCCTGGGCAAAGCGGGACATGCTCTCCAGCAGTTGCAGCGGGTTCAGATCAGACGGCAGATATTCCAATGTCAGATAGCATTTCAGCTGAGTTTGCATTTGGCAGTAATACCAATAATACCAAAGTGCTAGTAAAGCCATGGGAAGGGGAGAGGATTCACGAGGGATGTGCTCCCGACGACCTTGAGCTTACACTGGGAACCAGGTCAGTTGGTATAAATTTGTTAATGATTGTAGGTGCATGGTTTTCCTTTCCCTTTTTGGTATCTAAATGTTGCATAACTAAGGTCCTATTGTCCTTTGGGATGTTTTACTGATGATTTGTTGTGGCATTGCAGATAGGTAGATGTGAGGGGAGGAAAGAAATATGCATGTATTATGTCCTGAATTCAAGTGTTCCAGTTGGCGGACCTGGGTAGTGTTCACAGAGAGCAGGCGCAGTTGTTCTTTCTTCCCAAGGAGAAGCAAAACATGGAAATTAAAATTATATATATACTTCATATAGATCCTTGTTTTACTCCCATGACCCCAACCCCCAATTTTCATTCAAAAATTAATTTACACGACAGCAATGATACGCGGATGTTATTTGTGATATTGATTTTGTAATTTAAATGAGTTGTGAACGTCAAGATTAATTGGTTGGTTATAGAGCTCAGATTACCCTACTAGTCTCTATGATTTTTCACATTTCCGTGTCCATTCTACTTCTTCTTTACATTGTGGTGAGACGTTGGATCTTCAAGGCACACGAACTGTACTGTATAAATTGGAATTGCCTGAAATATGGCAAACTGTTTTAATGATATTGAATACATATCGTGGAGTGTGTGATTTTGGGGTTTTTCTTTTTACTACAAGATATTTGTGAACTGTGCTTTGAAGTCTCGAGAGACTGCCTGAACCAGTCAGCGGGCAATTTTTGTAGCAAGTACTGGTTAGTACTTATTGTACAAGTCTGGGCGTAATGGAGGGACTAAGATCAACAGTTGGATACGGGTCTCACCGAAAAAGGAACGATGTTAAAAAAAAAAAATTAAAAAAAAAAAAAAAACAAAACAAAATATCTTCTTTTGCTTCAGCGCCGCCACCCCCCTCGTCACCGTCCCGCCATCTCCCTTTCTCGTCACTATGTAACTCCAAAATAACATAATTGTATTAGGTTGTTCAGGCATCACCTAAAAAATAAAATAGAAAGAAAAAAAATAAAAAAAATTCTTTTAACACTTTTTTTTTTTTCAACACCTTTAATATTTTTCTCAACTTATTTAATTTTGTTCTCAACATTTTTTAATCTTCTTATCAACACCTTTTAATCTTATTCTCAATATTTTTTAATCTTTTTTCAACACCTTAAATCTTGTCCTCAACAATTTTTAATATTTTTTCTCAACACATTTAATGTTGTTATCAATACATTTAATCTTGTTCTTAACACTTTTTAATCTTATTCACAACATATTTTAATCGTGTTATCAACACCTCTAATCTTTTAATCTTGTTCTCAACACCATTTAATTTTATTTTCAACACCATTTAATTTTATTTTCAACACTTTTAATCTCTAACTCAACACCTTTTAATCATTACCTCAATATCTTTTCATCTTTATCTCAACACTTTTAATCTTTACCTCAATATCTTTTAATTTTTACCTCACTACTTTTCAACACTTTTTAATCTTTTTTCTCAACAACTTTAATCTTGTTCTCAACACTTTTTAATATTTTTTCTCAACACCTTTAATCTTATTCTAAACCTCTTTAACCTTGTTCTCAACACCATTAAATCTTGTTTTCACCATCTTTAATCTCTAACTAAACACCTTTTAATCAATACCTTAATACATTTTAATATTTATCTCAACATTTTTAATCTTTGCCTCAATACCTTTTAATCTTTACCTCAATACCTTCCAACACTTTTTAATCTTTTTTCTCAACACCTTTAATTTTGTTCTCAACATTTTTTAATCTTTTTTTTCAATACCTTCAACCTTATTATCAACACCATTTTTCATTTTTTCTCAACACCTTTAATCTTAATATCAATTTCTTTAATTTTGTTCTCAATATTTTTTTCATTTTATTCTCAACACCTTTAATCTTGTTCTCAACATCTTTGATCTTGTTTTCAACATTTTTTAATCTTTTTTTCTCAATACTTTTAATCTTGTTCTCAACACTATTTAATCTTGTTTTCAACAAATTTAATCTGTAACTCAACACCTTTTAATCATTAGCTCAATACCTTTTAATCTTTATCTCAACACTTTTAATCTTTAACTCAATACATTTAATCTGATTCTCAACACCATTTAATCTTATTTTCAACATCATTTAATCTTGTTATATATCAACACCTTTAATTTTTTTCTCAACTCCTTCAACACATTTTTTTTTTTTTAACACATTTTAATCTTATTCACCTTTAAAGATAACACTTTTTAATCTTTTTTCTCAACATCTTTAATTTTGTTCTCAACACTTTTTAATCTTTTTACTCAACACCTTCAATCTTGTTATCAAATTTTATTTTATTTTTTATTTTTTAACACCTTTAATCTTATTCTCAACCTCTTTAATCTTGTTCTCAATAAATTTATTTTTTATTTTTTTAACACTTTTAATCTTATTCTCAACCTCTTTAATCTTGTTCTCAACAAATTTTTTTTTTTTTTTTCAACACCTTTAATATTTTTCTCAACTTATTTAATTTTGTTCTCAACACTTTTTAACTTTTTTATCAACACCTTTTAATCTTATTTTCAACACTTTTAATCTTGTCCTCAACAATTTTTAATCTTTTTCTCAACACATTTAATCTTGTTTTCAACACATTTTAATTTTATTTTCAATACCATTTAATCTTGTTTTCAACACCTTTAATCTTTAACTCAACACATTTTAATCATTACCTCAATACCTTTTAATCTTTATCTTAACATTTTTAATCTTTACCTCAATACCTTTTAATTTTTACCTCAGTACCTTTCAACATTTTTTAATCTTCTTCTTCTTTTTTTTTTTTCTTTTCTCCAACACCTTAATCTTGTTCCTAACACCATTTAGTCTTATTTTCAACACCTTTAATTTGTAACTCAACACCTTATAATTATTACCTAAATACATTTTAATCTTTATCTGAACACTTTTAATCTTTACCTCAATACATTTAATCTTGTTCTTAACACCTTTTATAGAAAGACTAATTGAAAATTATATATGATGCAAAGCTTCATAATACAAGGCAATTATTAAAAAATGTACAACTCTTCAGGCACACAAAAAGGGTGATTCTAATAGTGATTTCTTTCTTCTTTTTTATTAACAAACCTAATATTATCTTGATTACAACATGAAATAATAATAATATTTTTCTCAATACCTTAAATCTTGTTCTCAATACTTTTTAATCTTTTTCTCAACACCTTAAATCATCTCAATACTTTTTAATTTTTTTTTTTTATTAACATCTTAAATCTTGTTTTCAACACTTTTTAATCTTTTTATCAACACCTTTAATAATAATTTTTTTTTTTAAACACCTAAAATCTTATTCTCAACATTTTTTAATCTTTTTTCTCGACACCTTTAATCTTGTAATCAAAATTTTTTTTTTTTTTTTCAACACCTTTAATCTTATTCTCAATCTCTTTAATCTTGTTCTCATCACTTTTTAATCTTTTTATCAGCACCTTTTAATCTTGTTCTCAACACTTTTAATCTTTTTCTCAACACTTTTTAATATTTTTCTCAACACCTTAAATTTTGTCCTCAACAATTTTTAATCTTTTTTCTCAACACATTTAATGTTGTTATCAATACATTTAATCTTGTTCTCAATATCTTTTAATCTTGTTATCAATACCTTTAATCTTGTTTTCAACACTTTTTAATCTTGTTCTCAACACCATTTAATCTTGTTTTCAACACCTTTAATTTCTAACTCGAATATCTTTTAATCATTACCTCAATACCTTTTAATCTTTATCTCACCACTTTTAAAAACAAGATTAAAAAGTGTCGAGAACAAGATTAAATGTATTGATAACAACATTTAATGTGTCAAGAAAAAGATTAAAAATTGTTGAGAACAAGATTTAAGGTGTTGAAAAAAAAATTAAAAAGTGTTAAGAATAAGATTAAAATGTGTTGATAAAAAAGATTAAAAAGTATCGAGAAGAAAATTAAATAAGTTGAGAAAAATATTAAAGGTGTTGAGAAACACAATAAAAATAATAATAATAATTAAAAAAAAAAACAAAACCTTTTTTTTATTTTTTAGATGATGCCTGAACAACCTAGTACAATTATGTTATTTTGAGGTGCACTATGATGAGAGAGGGAGATGGCGTACGGGACGGTGACGAGGGAGGGAGGCGCTGAAGCAGAAGAGGATATTTTGTTTTTCTTTTTTTCATTTTTCATTTTTTTTTTGGTAGGGAGGTGCTAAAGCAAAAGAGGATCTTTTATTTTCCTTTTATTTTTTATTTTTTTTCTTTCTATTTTATTTTTTTTAACGTCGTTCCTTTTTCCGTTGGACTCTAAAGTTACAATTTGAAAAAAATTCTTTTTTTTTTTACTATAGCATGAGTATAGCACGACCCGTTTACAGCGGATCTTAGTTTGTAATAGCGTTATATAATACTCCATATAATATGCACACATAAACAGGATTAGCTGATACTTCTTTTGGCACTAAGTTTTAGATATTGTTACTACTATGAAAAGACTACTATTGCTAATATTTTGGTTGATTAAAAGGACTAGTGTGTCAGCGTGTTATTTTTTCTGTTTTGGAGCTAGGTTTTTCTCGATTATGGTTTGAATCGGATGCTAAAGTTGTTGTGGATGGAGTGTTGAGCGAGGAGACTTGTCCATCAGAAATTGCTCCTATTTGCCTTTGATATTACTATGGATCTTCGGCAATTTTTGTCTGCCTCTTTGACTCATGTGCGTCGTCAGGGTAATAGGGTGGCTCATGCTTTGGCTTCTCTTTCACCGCCTGGGCTTTGGGTGGATCAAGTGTTGTCGTCTCTTCCTCCTTTTGTTGTGCTTCTTGCGGTGGCGGATTTTGGGTGTTCTTTGTTGTAGTTTGTTTGGGTTGTGTTTTGTTTATCTTTGCCAAAAGAAAAAAAAAAAAGAAAAGAAAAAAGAAAAGGATTATTTCTTTTAAAGCGCTATTGTAATACGAACACTTGTCAAATACATGAATATGGTTTTATAATATTCTGAAAATTGAATATTTTATTTTCAGATGTGAAATGAACAGTACTTTTTGAAACTTTTGAAATAAGTTAGATGGTTTTGTAATTAATATTGTTATCTTTTTGAGAAGAAATAATGAAATTCATTGCAATTTCAAATATATTATGAGTTAATTAAAATAATAATATAAAATTTATGAAATAAAATACACCGAAAAACTAATTTTAGGTTCCAAATTAGTGATTTTTTATTCATGATTATATACTAATACAATAAAATGGTAAAAAAATATTCTTTATATATAATAATATAATTTATATTATTATTTTTTGACCTACCATACTCATGTCTTATTATTATTCTTTTTATATTACCGTATCTGCATTATTACTAATGCACTAAACTCCTGCAGGGCTAGCTGCAAGTCACCTTATCTCCAATGCAAAATGCTATATTTTCATGCTAAATCTATATTTTAAGAGGAGCTACAGTGTCAAAATGCTATATTTTTACAATTATACTCCAATGGTGTATTTCATCCAAAATGTAATTTTTTGACACAACAACCATTTCATGTTTTGAGAGCTCATTAGAGTGCCTTATTTTCATTTTAATAACTTTTGA